TTTTGCATACCAAACCTTCCTTGCTAGGCCTGTGGTTTCTGAAGGCTCAACATATAGAAGGAGGGGAGAGCTCATAAGGGACCACAGAGACAATACAGGAGTATCTCTTAGAATTGGCTTTGCCCCAGTGCAGGGCTTTGTGACCTTTGGGGGCCAAGTGGTAGTCACCTGTGGGATTTTCTGCAGATCATACTCTGACCTGGCTCCCAACAGGGCCAGGAGCGCCACCCATCACATGTGGGAAGCCTGTAGTGTCCATGGCCAGGTCCTGTCTTCTGTTTGTCCTGGGTGCTGGCAGCAAACTATTAACTTGGTGGCCCACCCCAGGCTTCAAAAGTGTCAGTGGTTTTCACCTGTAATTGAATGGAAGGTGCTGTGTGGTGCAGTAACCCCTCCACTGGTGCACTGGATCATCCTGGTGACCTTAGGGTTATAAGACACATGGAACAATCAGCCAATGCTCATATCCTTAGCCCACTGTTGTATGTTGATGCCTGTAAAATGGGTTTCCTGGTCACTTTCATTAATCATGGGTGGGCCATATGTGGCACGTAACCAAGTCGTGTTGATCGTGCAACACCACTGCCTGATCAGGAAGCAAGGCCAAACTGCCAGGAGTCCCATGGCCATATCCACACAAGTAACCAGGTAGGAACTCCCTTCTGATCTTGGTAAGGGACTGATGATATTGACTTGCCACCTGGTCAAGGGTATTCATCCCTGGAGGACTTATCCAGTGGTTGCCATAGGTCTCCAGGGTCTGTGTGCAAACACACCACAAATTGCTCACAGGAAGCTGGTCCCTCGGCCAGCATCACGGGTAGGCCCCAAGCCTGCTCTGTAGCCCACATGGCTTTTTGCCCAGCATGCAACAATCAGTGATATAGCCATGAGGCTATTTTCACCCCTGAGGGGATGCTAAGGGGTTATAACCATGACATGATACACCATTACCTGCTTTTGATAGTCCAAGGCCCACCAATCTTCCCAAATGATTCAGCCCCAAAGAGGGAGATGCATCATGACCAATCAGTCAAGTGCCATGTGGTGAGCATAGGGTTAGTTCCTTATATACCACCAGCTATCAGTACAGAACGTGAGCATGGATGGCTGATGTGTTATTGCCAAGCCAGACAGCAGGGAGTTTGACCCATTGGTTGCTCTATCCTGTTCCTGTATCAAACCATAAGGTGCCAGTCGAGGTGTGTAGCCACATCTGTCCAAGCAGCTGGTTGCTCACAGCTTGAGACATCAGTAAACCAGGCATCTTTAGGAATAGGGGTTACCCCTCCTTCTAAGGGCTTGCCTGTGGCTCTATCCCCTCAAGGGTGGGGAATCTTGGGCCTCCAGTCCTAGGACTTCTTGTAGCTCCCCTTACAGAGGGCTGATGGATAAAGTACTGCATTGTTACAGGTATCCCGCAAGCTTTGCCAATGTAGGAGTCTGGGGAATACCCTCCTGGGTTTGGCAGTTCAATCTTGGACCCATCCTACTATTGGGTAAGAGGACTCGACCATAGGAGCTATCTTGGTGTTGCTTTCAGTGGCTATCAGAGCATAAACCACAGCCAGCTATTTCTCTATCAGTGAGATTGGCTCTTAGCCCCTTTCCACAGTTGGATGTCCTATCCATCTCTGCCCAGGCCTGAGAAGGGCCCCATGTAAAGAAGAGGCTGGCTACCCCTCAATCCCACCTGGGGGCACAGAGGGTTCCGTACCAGGCTTCTGTGAATATTGCCAACTACATCAATTGTTCAGACACCCATCCAGGCTGGGAAGGTTCATTTGAGATTTGGGTAGCCCAAAGAAATAACATGGAGCCATGGGAATATCTGACATGCCTTTACTATCTCAGTGGTATGGGAGCAACTAAAGGATCCTACTCCCTTTTATGTGATATCACTCAAGGCTGGCAAGCTGCCAAAAAGTTTTATAAAACAGTGTTATGACTTGTATCTAGATGTCCTCCTACCCCTCAAAGTCTCATGTGCTTATAGGTGGGACTTTGTGGAGCTGGCTGGATCTAGGGCTTGTGATACTGGGATTAAGGTGTTGGTAGTAAATTGGTCCACTGATTGGAATTAACGTAGTTCTCAGGTGGATAATGGGAAGGCCACCCTGGGGGTGGGTGGTACCAATCAATAGGCCTTGACGGAATATAAAGGGGTAAAGAAGAAAGTAGGTTTTGCTGCTTGCTGCTTCCTGCCTTCTGCCTGCCACACCATGGACTATTTCTCCTCTGTGATGCCCTTCTGCCATGCTGCTGGTATGTCTCATGAGGGTAGATTTTTATCTAGGGTCTATAAAAAAACAAAAACAAACCTGTATCAATAAAAGAATTAGAGATATAAGTTTAGAAGAAAAAAGAAAATCACTTTATTGGGAAAAGAAGAGAAATGGGGAAGCAAAATAATTTTATTGGGAAAAAGAGAGAAAATAAGTAGATAGATAGCTACCTTGTTGGAGTAAGGTAGGCAGCTCAGAGATGGCACTTGATGGTCTTTGTTCTAAGCTTCTTTTATTACATCGTGAGGAAGGGACTCTTCCCCTTGAGAGTTGTTATACCTTGTTTGGCTATTTCGGGCTCTGAGACTCCTGATTTGGCCATTGCCCCTTCCATTACCTATGTGTACATTTTTGGATAAGCACGTCTTTGGTCTGTCCAGGTGCTTTTATCTTGTGAGATTTACAGCAGAGTTACGTTCAAGGTTGAGTTAGTAAAAAGGATACATGTGCATTTTAGTGTATTACTATGATGAGAATAATAAAATATATGTGTACTTAAATGTATATGGGTGTGAGTGTTTAGGTGATAGTGTATATTTTATATACAGAGTTTTTATAATATCATCCTCCCTCTCCCTACTTTGTTTTTCTTGTGCTTAATTGAAGATGTAGAGAGGAGGGAGTTGTGTCTTGGCATGAAGTGAGCCAGGCCAGTCTTAACAGCTCTCCCTTTTTCTTAGCTTCACTCTCTATAGCAAGGGTTTAACTCTTTATTTTCCAGAAACCTCACTGAGACCTTTTAACTTTCTGTCCCTGAACTTTTAGTACACTGCCCTGCCTTGGAGGCAGCCAACTATGGGCTGAAATCTCTACAGTGATCCAAAATAAACCTTTCCTTCTTTAGCTTGTTGGGTGTCAGGTATTTTGTCTCAGCAATGAGAAAAAATAACAAAGACACATAGACTACTTGTTTACATGTTCCCTGTGTATGTGCAGGCTACATAACATATGGTGACTCACTAGCAAGTGTAAGATGTAGGGAAAAATCCTGAGCCATGTTGGGTACCCTGACCACACCCTGCTAAACACCTGAATGAGCTTGACAAGGGATTCTTCAGGTGAGAACCCAACCTGTCTGACACAGGCTGGTTGCAGTCCTGAACCAACCACCCAGTGAAGATGTGCTCGTATTGTTAACGCCTGGAAACCATGAGAGGAGAAATGTGTGTTTTCTAAGCTGCTAAGTTTGTGTTCGTTTGTTATGAAGCAATAGGTAACTAATAGAAACCACTGAGGAATAGGTGGATGTGGGGGAGGAAGGAGACCTCTCTTTATGCCTACTCTGCTTCCAAGGTTTTGTGATCAGGGACAGGGAGAATTAAATTGCTATGGATAGAAAAAGGAAAATCAGGAAGAAAATATGAGCAGGGGCAGGGGAGATGAGGATGAAGACTTTAATTGTGAAGGGTTTAGTTGGGAGAAAATAAAATGTGTGAGGCCATTTAAAATTCGAGAGCAGGGTTCAGGTAAGAAGCCAAGATGAAACAGCTATCATTCTACAAAACAAGCCTGTTGTCTCACATAGGTGAAGAATGAAATTGTGGACAGAAAGGAGGTTAAAGGGGAATTCTTCGTGGGAAATTTAAGAAGAAAAATAGCTTCCGGTGAGTAAACTGGAGGAGTCCTGTGTGGGTTGCTAAGGTGTTTCCTTTGTCTTGGTCTTATATAACAAGGAGAGAACAGAAACTTTGTTATTCAGTGATCACCTATCGCGGTGGGTCTGTGGGTTTAGAATCGTCAGTTGGGGTTTAGGCTTTATAAAGTTTAAAGAAAATCAGTTACTCAGCTGGGCAAATTCAAAGGGAACTGAGTTCAAAGGAAACCAGTTACTCTGTATTTCTAGAGGTAGGGTGGAGTTAACTAATTTAACATATGTTATCCAAGAACTTTTTCCTTGAGAGTTAAGAGTTTTTATTTGAACTCTTTTAATCTTTTTTGTGTGTGTGTTTGCATTTACATTTCTAAGCTTAACTGGCTGTATGGGTTGGATTAGCTCCTAACTCGGTGTATGTGCTATTCTTGTTTCCTTTGTAACCAGCCGACTTATCTTAGGCCCTGTCCCTTACTGACTATAAGGTAACTAAACTGTCTTTCATAAAGGCAGATGGGAAATTTAGCCATTATCAGCCTAGAGGTGACAAGGGAAGGCCTGGAAATGAAAAGCTGTCCAGAGGGAATTCAGAAAGGAGCGGGAAGACGAGGGTAGTGTGAGGGAAAGGTCACCGTGTGTTGGTGGAAGGAAGGAGAAACAAACCCAGGAGAGCCAGGGCGTTTGCAGAGTCAAAGCAAGGACTGTCCCGAATGGGTTCTGCTGCCCAGGATATCCCATTTTCCCTCCAAGTGTAACCTTTGGCAGGCACTGTACTTCACAGGAAAGACAGCTGAGGCTTTGACTGAAATATCTGGATCGATGCCATTCTAGCAGTAAGCCAAAGCTGCATTTTGAACTCAGGTATCACACCAAAGCCCGAAATCTTTCTGCTACACATTTAATCCATCCTTATTATCCAAAGGCGAGCAAAAAGAGTAAGAGGAGGTTTAAGAAAGCAAAAAATAGACAGGCTCTCAAACGTCCACAGGTGAAGTCAGGCCCAGCACATGCCGTCGTTCTCGATGGGGCCAGCAGAGGTCGCCAGAGCACAGGCCGCGCCGTTCAGGTGCGCGCAGGCGCAGGCGCATGCGTACTCGCTCCGGCTTGTGCCGGGGCTCCGGGCCGGCGGGGGCGGGGACACGCAGTGCGCGCGGTGGGGGCGGAGCGGCGGTAGCTAGGCTGCTGAGTGGGAGCCCGCGGTGGGCTCCAGGTAAGCGAGACGCAGCGCAGTGCGGAACCCGCTGGTCGCCGCGGAGCCATGGAGATCGGCACCGAGATCAGCCGCAAGATCCGGGTGAGGCCCGCAGAGCGGGGGGATGAAGCTGGGCCTTGGCGGGCGGGCTGTTGGCAGCAGTAACGGGGCCGGTGGGCCCGGCCTGTGGCGTTTCCTAGTCCAGGCCGCTTTGGGCCTGGCGCAGACGCGGCCTTGCAGAGCGCGGTAGGCGGTGGGGCTACGGCACCGGAAGTGGCCGCCGGGAGCGTGCGGGCGGGAGCGCCCCCGCCGCGGCGCCGCGAGCCACCCTGCGCCCGCCGAGCCCGGGGTCCGCGCCCTCCCCTCCCCCACCGGGCCGGAGCTGCGGGAGGCGCGAGCCGGCGGGTCGCCTGCGCGCTGCGCTTGGGCTCGGGCTCGGGCTCGGGCTCGGGCTCGGGCTCGGGCTCGGGATCCTCGCGCCGCGGCCCTCCTGGTCACCTTTGCTTTTTTTTCCCCCCTCAGAGTGCCATTAAGGGGAAATTGCAAGAATTAGGAGCTTATGTCGGTAAGTTTTATTGTTGTCTTTCGCCCAATACAATTTAGTTTGCAAGCTAATTTTAGTGAGTGCACTTTTCCCATCCTTCGACGAACAGTATTTTACAATTTTTGCCCTGCCACCTTTGAATCTGATACTTCCTGGTTAATTTGTTTAATCAGCATTTTATCGAACGGTCCGTGGGTAGACTCCTCCCCCCATTCCTCTTTCTGTACTGTTTTGAAGTAGTTTCTTTCGCTAAGGCTTTAATTTTCCATAGTTTTTGATTGAATTTTATTGTTATTCTGTTTTTGTTACTTTCCTTTTTACCTTGTATCCTCAGAACTGTCGCTTTGTATATGAATATTACTTTGTGGCACTTGCTTTTATAATGGCTCAGTTCTGTTTTCGAACTCTTCACAAATTTTCTTCTTTGGAATAGTGAGGGGTGCTTTTTTCCTCTGTTCTTTTACTATTTTTTACTCTGGACTGGGCACTGTGCCTAACTATTGTGTGTGTGTATTACACAGTTAACTCATGATAATCCCCGGTAGAACCCTGAAAGGTAAGTGGTAATATTCCCAACTGTATAGTCAGGAAAAGTGAGGGTTTCTCTACTTTATGATTTGGTCCAGGCTGGGAAATTTAGCCAGACCCAAAATATAAAAAAAAAAATTTTTTTTTTTTTTTAAAAAGGCTGAGGATGTAGTTCAGTGGGATGGTACTCTTGCCTAATAACCTTAAGGCTGTAGGTTCAGTCGCCAGTACTGGAAAATAAAATATCTGTCACTTAGGAGAACTGTTCCTAAAGTGTTTGAGTCGGTAAAGAACTCTGAAGTCAAAACTGTTTCCATGTTAATACTAAGAAGGTACTTGTCGTTTTCGTTGTGTTTGAATTTGGATGATATAAAAGGAATTAGTAATTTAGCATGAATCAACATAGTCAGGTCAGACTACTAGAGATTATATTCATGGGCTGGGTATTTAGCTCAGTAGTTCCGAGGCCTGCTTCACAAGCGCAGGCTCCCGAGTTCCATCCCCGGTACCCAAAAAAAAAAAAAGATTATATTCAAATCACTCTTCACTTGCAAATTTAAAAAAAAAAGCCTGTTTCTTTGTTTTTTGTTTTAAATATTTTATTTTGAGGGGTCTTGCAAAGCTTTCCAGACTGGGCCAAAACTTTCCTTGCTCCTACCTCAGCCTCCCATACAGTTGGGATTACAGGCATGCATCACATCTGGTTTAAGAAAAGCTTGTTTCACTTAATGTCATTGATGAGCTAGGCATGATAGTATGTATACACTTGTAGTTCCAGCTACTCAGGCGGCAGAGACAGAAGGATTTGAAAGTTTGAGACCCTGTCTCAAAAATGAAAAGGGCTGAGGATATAGCTCGGTGATATAGTGCTTGCCTGTCAATAATGAGGACTTGAGCTCAGTCCCTGGCACCACCAAAAAATAACTAAAAATTTAAAAAGAGAATGTCATTGGTGGAGCAGTAAAAATATTTTTTTTTTTTTTTGGGACCAGGGATCGAACTCGGGACCCTGTGCTTGCAAGGCAGACGGTGGAACCACTGAGCTAAATCCCCGGCACCCAGTAAAAATATTTTTAAACCCTGGCTTTTCATTACATCTTTTTAATACTCATTTCTTTTTTTTTTGGTGCCGGGGATTCAACTCGGGTCCTTGCGCTTGTGAGGCAGACGGCAGAACCACTGAGCTAAATCCCCAGCCCTATACTCAGTTTTCTGAGGGAATGGAATTGCTCATAAAGTGCCAATGTTGATTACCTTAAGGAAACGCATTAGTATGATTGAGAACTAGCCATCTTTTTCACGAAGTACAGTGGACCCTCAAGTTATGACTAGCTTGTCGCATGAATACCTTGGGTTAATTAGGTTAATGGAAAATTCATCTGCCTCTTGTTATCTACATAGCGTACCCAGGTAAACATCCAGATCTCGGCTGTGTTGACTTAGTTACAACAAGCCCTCGGAAACCGAGTTTTTAAGTCAGGGGTCCACTGTATCATTTCTAAGTTCTAAGAAGTGATAAACTGATTATGTGGACTTGAGTATTTGACAGATATAAGAAAACAACTGACAGGCTTTGTTGAACTTTTAGATGAAAAATAGAATTTTGGAATATTTATATCTGGCACCATGAGTTTAATAGCTTCCCAGTGCTGAAAGAATTTCTGGTGAAATTATGCAGCTCTTGTCAAATAAAATTTTTATATTGCCTAATGAAATGTGTCAATATTTTGGTGGTCCACTAGCTTAGTGAACCAGTATTTTCCCAGTGACCAGTGCATAATGTTAAAAAATTGTATGTGGTAAAGAGAGCTGTTAAAACCAGAGGGTACATCAGTGGATTTTCTTGTAACAGGGTGCCAAAAGGTAATCGATGTAGGTTTAGATTTGATATTGGTGCTAACATTGAGGAAATTCCCCTTGTTGAGTTTTAGTGTCTTATCACAGAATATCCCCTATTATCTGTGCAGGTTGTTAACATGCTATTTTTCTAGTGAGTATTGTGGGCCTGTAATCCCAGCACTCTGGGAGGCTGAGGTGGAAGGATTGCAAGTTCAAACCCAGCCCAGGCAACTTAGTGACTTAGCCAGACCTTGTCTTAAAAAAAATTCTTTTTTTAAAGGGAAGGTTATGTAGCTCAGTGCAAAGGGCCTGGGTTCAACCCCCAGTACTGCTCCCCGCCCCCTAAATATAAATAAATAAATAAATATATATATATATATATATATATATATTTTCGTTTTCTGGCTATATATCTGACACTAGATTTTCTTCACATTCTTCAGTGGGAACATTACAGAAGATTAAATGCAAAAAGCACTGGTACCAGCTTGGGCAACTTAGTGATTAAGCAAGACACTGTCTCACAGTGAGAAAAGGCTGGGGATGTAGCTTAGTGCAAAGACCTGGGTTCAGTCCCCAGTACTGGGAGAAAAAAAAAAGTGAGAAGCAAAAAATAGAATCTACCTCTCAAGCCAAATTACTGAGATTTATAAAAATACAGAACAAGGCCATTCTTTGCACTACATTTTTGTTTTCTTTCAAGCTTTAGCTGTTTTATTAAAAATAATTTTTTTATACAGATACACAAATATACTTGGGTTTTTTAATGTGATGTGTATTTTAAAATAGTACCTTTAAATTAAAATTTCCTGTTTTAATTTTATATGGTAAATACCAATAGATGTAACATAAACCAGAGAAAGAGCTTGAGGCCAGTTTGAGTATTGCTGCCTTATGGACAGGCAAATTTCAAAAATTACCTGTTTTCAGGACTGTTGTAAGACTTTAACACATTAGCAGTGAACCTGTGGCATGTGAGCTGCAGCCAGGTGTTTGTCATCATTGAAAGCTCTAAAAGGTTTGCTGTCACTGCTTTCACACATGAGAAAATCGAAGCTCAGAGAAGATGAGGCCAAATCGGGATTTATTTATTCTTTTTATTCATAACTTAATGGATGCCAACTGTGAGCCAAAAGTTTGTTTTGGCTTAAAAAGAGAAAACCACAGAAAACCTACTAAGAAAATTCTACATGAAAGTGCAAACACGTTGAGTCCAAATTAAAATTTACCAATGAGTTTGAATTTGATGGCTTTATCATTTGTCAGAAATTGCCAATTGAGGATTTTGAGCTTTTTAAGAACCTGGTTGCAAGTTTCATCTAATCCATTTTGATGTATATGAGATGTGATTGAAAACTACTATGAGTGCTTAAACTTAACAAATGTATTACAGTAAAAGACACATTGCCATTAATCCCCCTCAAAATACCAAGTCTCACTTTGAGCAACTTACCCTGTTCTTCTTGCCTTTTTTTTTTTTTTGAGACAGGGTCTTGCTGTGTAGTTTAGGGCAGCCTTGAACTCATTATGTAGCCCAGCCTGGCCTTGAACTTGTAATCCTCCTGCTACAGCCTCATGAGCTGGGATTACAGTCATGTGCCGCCAAACCTAACTTCTTGCCACTTTCTGAAGCAGTTTAGGAAGTCCTCTTTCATGAGGTTCATTAATTTTGGTGGTGTGGCTGCCTCAACATGATGATGTCCTGCATCAACTGAAAACCGTTTATCTTTCCTGGTCATTTCCACTTGGTGAAGAGCTAGAAGTCGAATATGCCAAATGTGAACAGGGTGGATGTGGTCACATACCATATCATTTTTAGGAGCCTGGCTTTCCATTGAATGGCACTTGGCAACAGTAGTCAGGACAGTTTTGATTACACCTTGTAAAGGGACTCATGGACTTCCAGATTGGTTTCAGAAAGTGGCAAGAATGATAGGAAAATTGTGTTTAAAGAGGGGGAGAGTATTTTGAGGAGCATTAATGATAGTATGTCTTATTGTAATAAATTTTTTAAAGCTTTTTTGATAAGACCTTTAATTTTAAAAACACCATATTTTATAGTTTTGAAAACATTTTCATATAGTTCCTGTTGTTCCTGAACATAGTGCTAGGGTGGGAGCGATAGGTAGAAGTCTTTTTACAAACAAAAAGTAGTCTTTATGAAGCTGTATAGAGCTAGTCAGTAGCAGATTTAAGGTCGGGGAACTTAGGCCTTTTGAGCCCTTAATGTTTACTGTGTTAACTTTATGATAGAAACTTTGTGATTTAAAGCCTGGATTGGAGCATGTGGTCTTCTAGAACTTCCAGTTTGGACATCAGCACAACTTTCTCAGCTTGTCACTGCTACTTGACAGAAGTTCTCTTTGTGTGTCTGTGTGTCTGTGTCTGTCTGTGTCTGTGTGGTAGAAGATTTTATGTATTTTGGTTTTTGGGGCCAGGAATTGAACCCAGGGCTCCTACCTGCTCTGCCACTGAGCTCTGCTCCCAGCTTAGAAGATTCTTAAGGGGAGAGATTTCACGTTTTCTGTGTTCCAGTGACACAGCAGAGAGCCTGATGTTTCCTAAATGTTAATTGGTTAAACAAGGTCACCCTTCAACTCCATTTGAAATAAAATAGAACGCATTATTCATGTCGGCAATTAACTATATTTATGTGTATCTGCATCAGTGTCCTGAAAAGGGTGAATTTCTAATTCCTCTTTGGTGGTGCTGGGGATAGAACCTGGGGATGTGGGCATGCTAAGTGTACCTCTACAGGGCTGCATTCCCAGCTGTCTAGCCTCTTTTTACCCTAGAAAGTGCTAGACTCTTTAAAGTCATAAAAACAATTCTGCAGGAAATACTTGTTTATTTTCAAGGTATTGGCTAGGACACAAAGATGAAAAACATTTTTAAAGGAAGTAGTAATGTCTCACTTGTGTTTAAAATGGAGTACTTCAGTGAGGTGGCAGTTAAAATTATAATTAACTTTTAGAAACCTTCACAACTTTGGTTTTTTCCCCTAGTATGCTATGCTGATTTCAAATGACTTTGAGAAGCCTGTCAGAATTCTGGAAGAACATATCATGACAACATGTTAATTTTTCGTTAAGTTGTTATATTTCATTGTATGTCTACTCACAAAACCTGAGAATTTCTGAAAGCTTTTGTTGAGATGTAATTGGCATATATTAAACTGCACGTGTGTGTGTGTGTGTGTGTGTGTGTGTGTTACTGGGGATTGAACCCAGGGCTTTGTGCATGCTAGGCAAGAGCACTACCATTGAGCTATATCTCCAGCCCTAAATTGGACACATTGATAAAATGAAAGTCATTACTGCAATCAAGGTAATGGGTATATTAGCCTGGAAATGTAGTCTATAGGTAGAGGACAGACAAAACCCTGGGTTTGATTCCAGCATTGCCAAAAAACTCCCCCCCAAACCCAGATAATGAACATATATATCAGCTCCCAAAATTTTTAGGAGCTGCTTTCTATCTCTACCTTACATCTTTCAGAGCTCCCAACCCAGTACCCAGACAACCACTGACCTCATACAATATTTTAGAAAATGGAAGCTGATACATAGTGACATGGCCTGTTTGTATCATTGATGTTAAGGGGAAAAATTACCAAAAGACTGCTGAAGTATTCCCACCTTTTTTTTGTTGATCTGAGTTACTATTGGTGTCCTGTAGTAGAAACCATGCAGAAATAGCTACCAGCTTGCTTACTATAATTGCTAGAAAGCAGTGAGAGTCCATTAATACTCCACCCTCAAAATGTCTGCTTGTCCTTGTATCTTCTCACATATTGCATGCATCTATGAAACAGTATGATTTTTTTTTCATAGATTTTGTGCTTTTACAGTGTATTTGTGCTTCTTTTGAACTGCATTTTTGATCCAAGTTTATCTTGGATACAAATGTTTGATAGTACTTTAGAAATGATCCTGTATGCCTGTGTAGAAATATAAGCATTTTAAGTATTAAATTTTTTTTGCGGGGGGAGGTAGGGAGGGATTGGAGTTCCAATGATAATGGCATTTGTTTTACTTACATTTTTATTTTTTTATTTTGGCTGTACTGGGGATTGAACCTAGGGCTTTGCCCATGCTAGGCATGCACTCTATCACTGAGCTATATCCCCAACCCTCTTTTTTTTTTGGTACGGGGGATCAAACTAGGAACCTTGCGCTTGTGAGGCTGGTGGTGGAACCACTGAGCTAAATCCCTGGCCCTAACCCTCTTTAATTTGAGATAATCTGTTTTAGTTGCCCAGGCTGGCCTTGAACTTTGTCCTTTTCCCATAGCTTCTTAGTAGCTGAGATTACAGTTGTACACCGCCTGGAATCTTCTAATCTTACTGAGGGTTGTTTTTTTTTCTCAATTTTTTTCTTGGCCCTGGACCTCACCTTCATAATCATTGTGTAAGGTGATCACTGTGAAGATAAAACAGTGAATAAAGTTAGTTGACATTATTTAATCGAATTTTTTTTCTCTGTTGTGCTGGAATTGAGCCTGGTGCATTGTGCCCACTAGGGAAGCACCCTACCTGCAACACCTCTAGCTGCTACTTAAAATTGAAATTTTTAAGTTATGTAGAGTTTCGGGTGATTTTAGTTTATTTGATGTTGCTCCAAGTTTATTATACTGAGTAATTAAAATCTGGTTTACCAAGGATAAAGATGTAATCTTGAGAAATGAGTATTTTTGAACAAAACTAAACAAAACTCAGTTACTAGTCCTGGGGAGTGTCCATATTTTCTAGAAGCTTCTCTGATGATAAAAACATTTTTTCTTTCAAGGAGATGAACACACTCAAAATTTTTTTTTTCTTTTTTTTTTTTTTTGGTACCAGGGATTGAACTTGGGTCCTTCTACTTTCGAGGCAGGCGGCGGAACCACTGAGCTAAATCCCTGGCCCTACACTCTCAAAATTGATTCTGTAATCCTAGATGTCTAGCTTTATTCCAAGGATTTCATAATTTATCCCTAATTCTTATTCTGCTAGTAATTGGAATATTTTGGGAATGAAGAGGAAAAATTCAACACTGAGCTTTTTTGTCTGACACAGTTCCAACAGAGTGAGATACTAGTTCTTAAAGCTACATCTATATTTTAATGTACATCAGCTATAATACAAATGTTAAGGAAAACATAAAAAAGATTTGATATACTTTTCCTTTTAAATAGATGAAGAACTTCCTGATTACATTATGGTGATGGTGGCCAACAAGAAAAGTCAGGACCAAATGACAGAGGACCTGTCCCTGTTTCTAGGGAACAACACAATTCGATTCACCGTATGGTATGTTTCTGAATATCTATGCCTCACACCACAGTTTGCAGAGTAGGTGTTTTGTCTGGAAAGCGATTCTTGACAGTCGTTAGGTCATCATGGAGAGGCAGTTTGTGATGAGGGCGCAGCCTCTGGAGCCGTTGCAGGTTGAATCTTGGCTCTGGATCTTGCTATATTTCTCTGTCCATAAATTGGGAACAGTAAAGTGCTTCTGTATAGAATTGTGAGGGTTAAATGAGCTAACACATACAGGTGCTTGGAGTCCACCTGCAAGGAGCCCCTAATGTATGTCACCTGCAATTTCTATGTTTCTTTTGCAAACTATGTCTTATTCCTTTCCCCCAACCAAAACCAGTTACAAACACCAAGTACCAGCTGTAGTTTGGACTGGATGTATTTCCTGTTTTGTTTTTTCCAAGTTACCTTATAAGAGGCAAAGTTTTTTGGGTTTTTTCATTTTTAAAATTCGTTCTTTCATTTGATAAATGAAAATTTCCATCTTTAAACCTTGGAATTTTAAAATAAGCAGCCTTGTTTTTTAATTTGAAGTGTCCTTTTCCCAACCACATGGGCCTTTAGTTGAGAATGCCGACTAAAACTATGATTCAGTTGAAGAAAACCAGGTCCTGATTGATACCAGGTTTGAGATAGAGTGAGAATGGAAGAAGATGATATAGCTGAGAGTAGAGACAAGAAACGTTCCTAAGAGCTCTTAGATTAGGAGCAGCCAGTTATAGTGAAAGTGGGAGGAACAGAGTAGAGTGGCAGAAGACTTGGATAACAAATAGGCACTAAGGAGAGATGATGCCTATTAAAGTCTTTCCTTAACTCAAAACTCTTAGTGTCTTTGTCCTAGCAGGCCACTGTATGCTGTATAGCTCTTGTGCAGCCACCTCGGAATTCTCTGGGTTTATATGTTGTTAAGAGTATAGGTCCTTACTCATGACTTTAATGTAGTGGTCTAACCTACTTAGGACAGTTTATTTCATTGCTTACCAAATAAAAGTGGTCATGGTGCTTTAATCTTTAGCAGTGCAAGTATTTTTTTGTTTTGTTTAGTAAACAGTTTTCATAACCTAACCTTTGGATCACCTAGGATTTGAGTCCAGCTTCTCTTAGATGGGAGATTGACCTAATAGATGCTTTATCACATAACTTGATGGAATACGTTGGAGAAATTTATTAAACAAACATACCATTTACTGGATCTGAATTTAAGCTAAAATTCAACTTCTTGTCCTTGCCACAAATTCAGTTCTTTAGTGTGTACTGATGCAAGGGATGTTATCTTCATTTTGGCACTTAAATGTTATATTAACACCAGCCCCAAACAGACTGTCATGATTTTTTTAAGCCCCGAAATAGTTGTGTCTGTTGATGTGTGCCATTGGCTCGTGACTAGGGTTCTCAGTGAAACAGTACAGTGAGAATTCTGGTGTTTAGGGGAGCCTCTTAGAAGCACTACAGGGCAAATTTGCCTTGAATATAGTTGCTAAAATAGGCCATAACTTATGGTCTATATTTGCTTATAACAATTATTTTGAAAATAATAGTTACAGTGAAATTGTATACCATCTTCTGAGATAAATTTTTTTGTTTTTTTAGCTCTCTAAATTAGGTTGTCCGGAAACCATGGAAGTAGTTAAATATGAACTGCTGGTGTAGGGGTGAAGTTGAGTGGTACAATGGATATTTAGCATGCTGAGGGCTCTAGGCTGAGTCCCCAGTGTCAAAATAAGTACAAAAGTTGTTATTAAACCATTGTGACGTAAGCATTATTACATAATTTTGTTTTACTGGAAGCTCTATTCAGTCTTTAGTCCTCAGGAAGCAAAGTGACATTTTTGTAGACCCAGATTCTAGTTAGAAGATGTCCTTGCCCTTGTTTGTTTTGTTTTGCTTTGGTACGGTGAATTGAGCCCAGAGCCTGTGCATGCTAAGAACTTGCTCTGCCACCAGGCTGTACCTCCAGTTCCTTTGGGCTCATTTGCAGAGGCTAGATGTTAAAAATAGTGAAGAAAAGTAATGATTCTTGATTGATTTCTGTAATATTTATATAGTCTTTTAAAATGTGGAACTAGAAAGTTAATTTTAACATCATTTATACGTTAAATCATATATCAATATTTATCTGGATAAAATGTCATCACATTTAGAGTGGCAGTTGAAATAAAATCTTAAGGGAGGCTTTATTTTTTTGTTTTGTTTTGTTTTTTTTAGGCTTCATGGTGTATTAGATAAACTTCGCTCTGTTACAACTGGTAAGATTTATAAAATTGAGGTTTGTTTGGAATTTCTATTTGCTGTAGCATATGATTCTTCTGAAAGTCATTTGTGCTGTTTCAGAAACACTCGCAACTTTGAAAAGAGTGTTCATTTGAACTTTGTAAGGGAGCACAATGTTATGAATTTTATGAGCAGTAAATTTATTCAGTGATAATTTCAATGTGTGTGTAGGTGGGAGCGGGAGTAGTGCTATGTATCCTAAGGAAAAAATTGTAGATGTATGCAGAGGTTTAAGTCCAAGGGTGTCTCACTTTGTTATAATTGAAAGTTACATCAACATCCAATACTAATAAATTAAATACATTATTTTATTACTGTGTGTGGAATAACATTCAGGCATTACAAGTAATATGGAGTAGTGTGTGAGAACACACACAATATAGATCTATATATACCCTTCCTCAAAAAATAGCCTTTGAAGCTGAGTGTGGTGGCACACACATGTATTACCCACTCCAGAGGCTCAGGCAGGAGGATTGTGAGTTTGAGGCCAGCCTGGGCAAAGTGACACCCTGTCTCAAACAGTAAGAAGGCCTGGGGATATAGCTCAGTGCGTGAGGCTCTGTGTCCAGTCCTCAGTATTGTACTACAGAAAGCAAAAAAACACCTTTGAGGTAATTGGTTATTTTGTTTGTATTTTAAAACTTTTCTACAATGAACATGTATTACTTTTGAATTGGTCATCAGAGAGGAAAAGTTTTAAAGTAATAAAAGTAGATTTCAAAGATCATTTATTTTTCTTTCTAGAACCCTCTAGTCTAAAGTCTTCTGATACCACCATCTTTGATAATAATGTGCCTTCAAACAAGAGCAGTTTCAGTCGGGGAGATGAGAGAAGGCATGAAGCTACAGTGCCTCCCCTTGCTATTTCTAGCACTAGACCTGAGAAAAGAGATTCCAGAGTTGCTACAAGTTCACAGGAGCAGAAAACAAATAATATGAGGTATTTTTCATGAAAATACATACTTTTTTTATAATGGAACACCTTTATTTTTACACATCTGACAGAGGTTTGTGGTGAGCAATCTTTTCAGTGGAAAACAGCACCAATATCAGCCTGTCATTAAAAATTTTAAAGTAGGGCTGGGGATTTAGCTCAGTGGTTTCGCCGCCTGCTGTGCCAAGTGCAAGGACCTGAGTTCAATCCCTGGTACCAAAAAAAAAAAAAATTTTAAAGTAAATATTTTTTTGCCGGGTGTGGTGGCGGGTTCCTGTAATCCCAGCCCGTGGGCTTGAGGAGGATCGCCATGAGTTTGAAGCCAGCCTTGGCTACATAGTTTAAGACTAGCCTGAACTACATAGTGAGACCTTGTCTCAAAAACAAACATTTTTTGAGGATTTGGAGATAATTGATCTAATTTTATTGTGAAATATTTTTTTTTTTGGTAGACAGACTTATGATGATGGAGCTGCAACCCGACTAATGTCAACAGTGAAGCCTCTGAGGGAGCCAGCACCCTCTGAAGATGTGATTGATATTAAGCCGGAACCAGATGACCTCATTGATGAAGACCTCAATTTTGTGCAGGAGAATCCTTTATCTCAGAAAAAACCTACAGTGACACTTACATATGGTTCTTCTCGCCCTTCTATTGAAATTTATCGACCACCCGCAAGCCGAAATGCAGAGAGTGGCGCTCATTTAAACAGGTTACAATTTCAGCAGCAGCAAAGCAGTATTCACGCTGCCAAGCAACTGGATATACAGAACAGTCGGGTGTATGAAACGGGACATTTATGTGAACCAGAAGTGCTTAACAGCTTAGAAGAGACTTATAGTCCCTTCTTCAGAAACAACTCTGAAAAAATGATCATTGAGGTTTGTATTTTTAAATCCTGGCTTGTTAGGCTGAAGTTTGGTAGTTTTTTTTTTGGTACTGGGGATTGAACTCAGGACCTTGTGCTTTCGAGGCAGGTGGTGGAACTGCTGGGCTAAATCCCTGGCTGGCAGTTCTTGATACTAAATAGTATGTGAACTAACTAAACACATATTACAAGTTTATTGTAAATTGATCTTTCTGCTGCCCTAGCCTCTCCACGGCTGGCTTCTAGAGAGATTTTGTATCATATCTGCATACCTTGTTAGTATTTTTCACATTTGAGTTAGTCTACGTTAAAATTTTGGGGAGAGAGGTTAGGTCAGTTTTAGATTGTTTATGGTAATTGCTAGTAAGCAACCAAGTAACTCCCTTTTTTTAGTTTCTGGGATGTCTGACATTTGACTTAACTGTTTTTATCTTAATAATTTTAGGGGAGGGTGTTAGGTAATTGCTAGTGAACAACTAAGTTACTCCTTTTTCTTAATTTCTTTGATTTCTGGCATTTGAAATAGCTTTATCCATATTTTATAATTTTTCCTGTCATGGTTAGGTAAATTTTAGATTGTTCATGGTAATAACCAACTCCCTTTTATTAATTTCCTCAGCAGTGCTGTGTGTAGCTGTTTATGAAATGAATATAAAGCTTTAAGCTTTGTTTTAGTTAATGATTGGCTGTTTGAGGTATTTACATTTTTATAAGAAACCAGTAAGTACCCTGTGAATCCTTAACAAGATTGTCTTTTTTCAATGAAAAAAATGTGTGATAGAACTTTATTTTCTGAGTCTGGGTAAGCATCAACTTATTTGATTGCAGGAAGAAAATTTTCGAAAGAGAAAGTTACCTGTGGTAAGTTCAGTTGTTAAAGTAAAAAAATTCAATCATGATGGAGAAGAGGAGGAGGAAGATGACGATTATGGCTCCCGGACAGGAAGTGTGTCCAGCAGCGTCTCAGTGCCAGCAAAGCCGGAAAGGAGGTGTGTAAGCACAGTGGTTCCAGCTGCCTGTTGGAGTCCTCGGGGTTTCTTTTTTTCTTTTTTTCTTTTTTCATGCTAGGGATCAAACCTAGGGCCTTGTGCATGTTAGGCAAGTGCTTTACTATTGATCTACATCCCTGGCCCTCTGGATTTCTTAAAAAGGACAATCTTGAGAAACATCTAATATAATCCTATGTAAGACTTTTCCATTGAATTTATTTATTAATTTTTTTGAGACAGGGTCTTGCTGTTAGTTCAGGCTGCCCTTGAAATTACTCTGTAGCCCAGGCTGGCCTCAAATTCAGCGATCCTCCTGCCTCAGCCTCAGCTTGCCATTGAATCTTTTAGAGAGATATATATATCTATATATATCTATCTATCTATCTATCTATCTATCTATTACTGAGAATGACCTTGTTTAACATTGTAGAGGATTGCAGAGAATTAAAACCTAATTTTATGAGAAAAAAATTTATTCAGATTTGTTATTTTAAAAAGTAAGGTTTCTTTCAGTCTAGTTGACATTTTCTAAAAATGATAGCTTGTCTATGTGAAACGTGGAGAAGTTATAGTAAAGGCGTAATGGATGGTTAGTAAGTGAAGAACAGAAATTTAAAATGTTGTAAAAATACCTTTTTAAAACTCTTTTAGACCTTCTCTTCCACCTTCTAAACAAGCTAATAAGAATCTGATTTTGAAGGCTATATCTGAAGCTCAAGAATCTGTAACAAAAACAACCAACTATTCTGCAGGTAATTTATGTGTAGTATGTTTACATTGGGTAAGAGATCATTCAGTAAGTTAAAATGCTTGCTTCCTGAGTTGTACTATAAGGTGTCTGTCAGATGTAAAGACCAAAGTGAAGTTCCTCTATAAAGAATGGTTTTAGAAGGAAATTTGATCAGTTTGGGAAAGTATCATTGGAGTTTAGATCTTTGAGCACCTGTGTGTAGTACTCTTACACCCTCATTCCAAAGTGTGTGAAGCAGATAATACAAACTTTGAAGGGACGGTTTTTTAATTTTAATTTTTTGGTCATACCAGAGATTGAACCCAGGGCTTTGCATATGCTAGTGAAGTGCTCTAGCACTGAGTTATACCCCAACTCTTTTTATTTGGTGAGAAGTTCATTCTTATGTTGCCCAGGCTGCCCTTTAACTTTCAGTACCGCTGCCCAGCCTCCTAAAGAGATAGGATTATAGATAACGTACCGCCAATCCTCGCTTAAAAGTTTTGATTAAAAAATGAGACTTTCATATTAATAGTATTAAATTCAACATTAGATACGAATTCGTGATAGGTAAAGGGTAGCAATATTGGATAATAAGTAGCTGAAGTTAGGGAAGTTTGTGTTTTTTTGGTTTTTTTATGTGGTGCTGCAGATCAAACTTGGGCTTGTGTACGCTAAGCAATTCTTCTGCCGCTGGCTTCCTCTCAAGCCCCAAGAGAAATTTGTTTAAAACTTAAAAACAAGCAGATACGTTTCTTCATCTTGGAATCCATTAATAAATGTAGGAAAGAGGAGTCAGTGTAGTGGCACACACTTATAATCCTAGCTACAGAAGGCTGAGGCTGTAGGATTGGAAGTTAGAGGCCAGATAGGCAACTTGGTAAGACCCTGTGTCAAAATGATGATGATGATGATGACAAAAATGGTAGGGCTGGGGATGTAACTCAGTGGTCGGGTACTTGGCCTGTTATGTATGAGGTCCTGGGTTCAGTCTCCAGTACTGCAGAAGAAAGAAAAAGAGAGGGAGAGAACTCATTTGTGATAGCCTTGCCCTAATAATCATACTGATAGAAGCACATCATTTTGTGACAATATTAAGATACTGCATGTATTTAAAACAAACTTTTTTGCAGAAAGCTAATTCAGAAGTACAGATGATGGGTGCCATTTTATAGTGTTGAGTTCTGTACTTCATGTCCTGCTATAGCCAATGTTTAAACCTTTGTGGTAACAAGGTGATGGTAATTATTAACTCTCAAAAATTACTTTGGTTTTTACTGTGGATCTGATCAATGCTTTTTGGAGTATTGTTCTGCTTTCCATTATCTCACATCTTTGACCCCTTCCTGAACTGAACGATTAGCCATCAGTGTTTTTTTTTTCATTAAGTTTATTGGTACATTTTAGGTATACAATAGTTATATTCATCATTGGGATCTTGTACCTTTACATGATGTATCTTTGTTCATATTTTTTCCCCATTTCCCTGCACTCCCTTCACCCCCTTCACCCTTCCTTAAAAATAGGAGAAAAGAAAAAAATGAAAGACATCAGTTTTTGATCCTGATACTCAACTGTCTTTTTCATCCCTAATTTAACCTTGAACATAAACTAGTTATGGCATGTAGAATAAGGGTTATCAGGCAAAGGCCAGTGCTTGACCTAACAAATTTAGAGAATTTCTGTGACCTTGAAATACCCTCCTTTTCTAAAAGTTAAAGATTCCCAGGTCTTTTTCTGGTGTGGGGGTAGGGTACTGAGGATTGAACCCAGGGGCTTTCACACTGAATAACACCCCCAGCTCTTTAATTTTTTATTTTGAGATGTCAGGGTCTTGCTAAATTGCCTAAAGGCTGGTCTCGAACTTGTGATTCTTCTGCTTCAGCCTCCCAGAGTACTGGGATTACAGATGTAAGCCACCGTGCCTGACTTGGATATCCCAAAGTTTTAAGAAATAGCTTTGAAACATTCTTTCTCTATCTAAATTACCTAAATTACAATTCAAAATTATATAAGGTTATGAAGCAAAGCCTATGGTTCATTATTTAAAAAAATGAATACATATGTGCCGTACTCTTCGTGGCATATTTCTTAAAATGTGTAGACATTGTTTACATATGTATGGGTAATAAGTTGGATATCTATCTCAGGAATCTTGTAAGAAAGGCTCAGGTGGTAGTTTCTGGATTTTTGTGAACTCCTTGAGTGTTCTAAACCCAAGGAGGCACTATGATATGTTTTAACTATTGAGTTTTGATATGTTCTGATGTTCATTTGTTGTATTTCCATCTCTCTTTAATTTTGTGTTAAAGTCCCACAGAAACAGACACTTCCAGTTGCTCCCAGAACTCGAACATCTCAAGAAGAATTGCTGGCAGAAGTGGTCCAGGGGCAAAACAGGACCACCAGAGTTAGCTCCCCTATTAAAGAAGAGGAAACAAAAGGAGATATTACAGAAAAAAATCAAGGTAAAAATTTAAATATTTTACTTTCTTTTTAAAATTTTTTGTGATACATTGTTTTCAAATGGATTTTTATGGAGTATTATTTGTGAAGATTAGACCCAAAAAGAGAATAAGGGATCCTGAAGAATGTTCATACCTATACTTTTTATTAGGAAACCAGGCAAGTTGGCACATACCTGTAATCCCAGCTGCTCAGAGGCTAAGGCAGGAGAATTATGCATAAGTTCAAAGATAGTCTGGGGAGTTTAGTGAGACCTGGCCTCAAAATAAATTAAAAAGGTTGGAGTTGAACTTGGTGCTCCCTGGATTCAATCCCCACCCTTCACAAAAACTTCAGTACAGAAGTTTTTAATGTACTCAAAAATGGAAAGACAGGTGCAATAAACTCCCATGAATGTAATCACTCATCCATAATGGATTTTGCTGCTTTTTTAAAAAAGTTTTTACTTAAAGATATATTTACTTGTGTTCTTTCCTTTTTTTGATCTTATCCCTGTTCTCTCTACCTTGAAATCTTGGTCTTTAAATCTCCCCTCTTAGCATGCTGTCTCTGTGATCCATTGTATCTGTCCCAGTGGCCTTTTTATCCCCTTGTACCTAACACACCAGAAGTAGCTAGCTTCTGGTTGATTTTTCTGTTTCCTTCTTTTCTTTCTTTTCTCCAACTCTGACTTTTGCATAGTCTCCTGATTTCCAAAGGATGGCTTACCATGTGACTCCTTTGTGAGAGTATCTCTCCCTCATCCTTATTACCTAGGATTAATGCCTCAGTCGGAGCTTTAAGCAGCTCTGTTAGATGATCCCTAGACCTGCTTGTCCCTTCTCCACTAGTCTCAAACCTGTTTTGTTTCCTTCAGAAGGTTCCAATTTGCTTCCGTCTTTCTACTAAAATCTGATTTTTTAAAACTGCCAAAGTAAAAAATTAAATTCATATTATTTCCAGTTACATATTTTTTCTATCCTTGGAATACAGTTTTTCAACCCTTAAAAACTTGTATTCTTTTAGTTGTGTAGGCTTCGTGGAGTTTTAGGGTTATATCTTGTATCTTACCCTGTGGTGAGGATTGAACCGATAGCCTTACACTTGCTAAGCATGTGCTTTATTACTGAGCTACATCTCAGCCCAGGTGTTGAAAAGAGAGATACTATTTGAGAGTGAGCTAGAAGATATTAAAATATAAGACATGGGTGAGTGTAGTATTACGTAACTAATTCCATCTACTTGAGAGATTGAGGCAGGAAGATGGCAAATTTGAGGCCAGCCAAGGGAAATTTAGCCGACCTTGGTCTCAAAAATGTCTGGAGGTATGAAAGTGCTAGAGTGCTTGATAGCCTAGCATGCACAGGGTCCTGGATTCAAACCCTGGTACCACGCACAAACAAAAAAAATCCCCCCAAACCTGTGATATGTAAAACTAGCATAAAACAGAATTGGGAAAATATTTGAAATGAACTGAGAAGAATTACAAGTAAAAATTTATTTAGAAATGAACACTTTTGTATGAGACCTGAGGTTCAATCCCTAGCACCAAAAGAAAAGAGAAGAAGGGCGGGGGATTTAGCTCAGTGGCACTGCACCTGCCTTGCATGTTCAAGGTCCTGAGTTTGATCCCTGGTATTGGAACAAAAGAAAAGAAAGGCTATGTTAGAAATAACTCAATAATTAGTATGTCTTAATAACTTAGGTTTTTTTTTTGGTACCGGGGATCGAACTCAGGAACTTGCACTTTTGAGGCAGGTGCCGGAACCACTGAGCTAAATCCCCGGCCCAGTATGTCTTAATAACTTGAACTAATCTTCAGAGATATTGAAGATAAAGGGAGCAACATTATAAAAATCAGAAAGTATGGGTCGGGGATGTAGCTCAGTGGCACTGAGCCTGCCTCACAAGCTTAAGGTCATGAGTTTGATCCCCAGTACCAAAAAAAAACCCCCAAAAACAAAAAATTAAAAAGTTAGAAGAACTCAAGAGAAAATGGCAGATAGTATGAGCAACACAGATACAAAGTATTTATAATAGAAATCTCTGGTGGTGGGAGGGAACAAGGGAACACCTTAAGTTTTAAGAAAACTTCTGAAATAAAAAGAAAAATTGAAGCTGCTTACCAGAAAGTTTACATTTGTATACCTGTGAATATCTGTCCACAGCTGGAAACACTTACGTGTATTCAAGAACTAATGGAATTTTAAAAAGAATGAAAACAGACATAGGCATGGAGGCAAAAAATCATGCAACTTGAAAGAAAAAATAGTTTATCATCAGGTCTTTTACAGCATCACTTTGTGGGCAGAGGGTTTAACTCAGTGATTCTGGCACCTGCCTCAAAAGCTCAAGGTCTCGAGTTTGATCCCCGGTACCAAAAAAAAAAAAAAGTCCCACAGTAGCATCACTTTGTGATAGAAGTAGATGGGCTAGATTTAAGATATGTCAGGAAAGAAAATGTTGAGTCAAGAATTTTTATGTCTATCAAAAATGACTTTCAAATTTTTTTTTTTTTTGGTTCTGGGGATTGAACTCGGGTCCTGGGGTTGCGCAGCAGGTGGTGAAACCACTGAGCTGAATCCCCGGCCCTCTTTCAGATTTTCTTAAGGAATCTAATGGAATATGAGCTTCAGACAAGTAAAAACTGTTTTGCATTGGAAGCTTTTACAGACTATATATACATTTTTCTTTAGATTTGTTCCTGGAAAGGCACAGAATCATCAAATCATCCTATAGCACTGGATGTACTTAGTGCCTGCACTGTGATCTCAGAACACTTCCTATGTAAACAACCTAGGCTTCTTGAGAAATGTTTGATTCCTTGTTGGTGGCAGAAAAGGATAAGGTGATCCTAGGATGTCTGGACATCCTGTGTTGCAAAGAAACTATCAGTGTGTGGCAGTCATGACAAAGATTCAGGAGCCAGCTTTTCAGAAGTTGTTGACTACATGGCACTGTTTGGGCTCCAATAAGAGTAAAAATGGCAGTAGACGAGGCTCTGTCAGATTCACACCCCCTCCACCCCAAGTAAACCTCAGTTGATCACCTTCTAGAGCAGTGATGGCAAACCTTTTAGAGATGAATGTCCAGACTCCCACCCTAAGCAGACTTCTTTATCGCAAACACTGCGATTAAACCTGAATATTGAGGGTTTAGTTTAGAAAAAACAACATACATTAACAACTTTTGTCTTAAAAACAACATGTGTCATAGGTTTGCCACCACTGTTCTAGAGCATCATGAATAACTTGTCTTGAAAACTTGGTAAATAAAATAATCGAGCATTTGTACTTTCCTGTAACAGTGGTACCACTCGGTAACCAAATAGTACAAGAGTAGGCATCTGCTTTTGTGTGTTGTTGTTTTTTTTTGGTACCAGGGATCGAACTTGGGACCTTGCGCTTGCAAGGCAAGCGCAGGAACCACTGAGCTAAATCCCCAGCCCATGGTTTTGTAAATAAAGTTTTATTGGAATGAAACTCAATTCATGAACAGATTTTTTTGTCATTGCTTTTGTACTGCTACCTTAGTTGAGTAGCCTTTCACATATATATAGCCTTGCACAGTCAAAAATGCTTGTTAATTCTTGATATGATAAACGAGGGAAGCATCTTTTAAAAAAAAGTTAAGTGAAAACAGAAGGGTAGACTTTGAGGTTTTTGTTTTGTTTTGTTTTGTTTTTTGGTACTGGGGATCAAACTCAGGTCCTTCTGCTTGCGAGGCAGGTGGCAGAACCACTGAGGTAAATCCCCGGCCCCTTGTTTTGTTTTTGAATGAATAAAAATCATTTGTTTTCGTGCCTCCCGAGGAAAGAACAAAACACTGCATTAGTCTTGCCAAAGGATTTGAATCTTGTCATTGAGCCTCCAACTCAACAGTCAGCTCACAAGGTACAGAGGTCAGAAGAATATGTTGGTAGAGCTGCATCATAAGTATGCAACAGGTAGAGTAGGTCTCTAGGTGACTTTATAGGTCAGGTAGTCTGAGAATTTGTAAAAATCTTAAAAGGACAAATCAGGGAGCTAGCTTAACCTACAGTGTCCAGGAATGCACACCAATGTATAAAACCATGCAGAACCCCTCGGGCAGTACTCTAAAAGACATTTGTTGAAATGTTTGGAGAGGAAAGATTTAAGATAGGGCACACGGAGAGGCATCTAGAGGGATTGGCAGAAAGTTCTTTTGCTTGAACTGGGTGGTGGCTACTTATAGAAGATGTTTTGACTTATGAAAATTCATTAGGCCGTGAATTGTGGGGGTTGTTTATCATTGTCATGTTTTAAAATAGGTTGAATTGAAATGGTTATCAAGTACAGTTGCTAGATTCATTTGTTCACAGGTGTAAAGTGATGGTAAATAAGCAGTCGTTAATGTGCTAACAGTTTTACAGTTATTTCTGACAGGTTTTAAAAATCTAAATATGTACACATATTGACATGAGTTGTTGGTTGTGTTCATTCTCTGGTCTTGGGTTTCTTTTTTGAGACAGGGCCTCACTATGTAGTCCAGGCAGGCTGACCTCAAACTCACACAGATCCTCCTGCCTCAGCAGCCTGAGTGTTGAGATTACAGTTGTGCACCACCACTCCTGCGGGCCTCTTTGTTTTTACCAGCCTGCCCACTTCACAATGTGTGTGCATGATCTCCTTTTATCTTGGATCAGTTTGTCACCAGAATTTATTTTGTCAATTTTGTCAAAGACTTAACCACCACAGTAATAATCCTTGCTTTATTTACTTTCACTTAGTGTCTTTATTTTCGGTTTCATTGATTTCTGCCCTTATTTTGAATACACCTTTCCATATTTTTTCTTAGTTTATCTTAGCCTGTAACTTCCAGTATAACATTTAAGTTACACATTTCGTTTGATATACCACTTTTACTGCATGTTACTAGTTTTGGTACATTCTTATATTGTATAAGATATTATATATCTTCATTATTATGGGGTTTTTAATTTCAACTCTTCTTTTTTTTTTTACTTTTTTTTTTTTATTAGTCCATATTTGCCATACATGGT